TTGATCTGGAAATCAAGATGCCTAAATGCATGGCAAAGACCTTTTTTTATAGGCCAAAATTGGGAACTATTGATTTGATGACTAATTGATGAGTGGGTGGCCAACTCTTGACTTGGTGATACTCTTTATCTTCTTTTGTCTACCCAAAACATCATTGATAATGCCAGAATTAAAAAAACTTGAAAACATGAAAGTTCTAGGAAATTATCTTAACTTTCTAGAAAAAAAAATTGAGGTCATTTAGACTTCTAAAACTTCATATATGGGCCAAACACTGAACAATATTTAGGCTATAGGATATATTCAGACTTCTTTGTTGTTGCTACAATTTGAACTTGAAAATGAGCTTTTGAATTCTTGGGCTTATGAAAGTTATAGACCTATGTCTTACCTTTCCATCAATATAAAGTATACCTAAATCCGAGATCTATAGCTCCAGATATGACCCAATTACCGAACAGTGTTCCAGTTTGGACTGTATCAGCATCTCTTTTCTAAGTTTGGCCATCTCTTTGTCCTTTCAATTTCAGTACTTAAACTCATCAATCAATCCTTTCATTTATGTGATAGGCCTGCATTTAAAATGAATATTTACCATAAATTAAAGGTATCTTATATTATTAGATATGTTATTATAAAACATGCTTTAGTTAAAGAGTTATTGATACTTCAAGTGCAAAATGATGATATAAAACCTTGATAAAAATGCACTTTTAAGTATTAATCATGGAACTTACAAATTGTTTTTTATTTTAATATTTTGACTATTAGAGACTAGTAATAAGCTGGTTGGGGTGTGATTAGTATTTAAAAATGCATTTATATCAAGGTTTTATATCATCATTTTGCATTTGAAGTATCAATAACTCTTTAACTAGAGTATGTTTTATAATAACATATCTAATAATATAAGATACCTTTAATTTATGGTAAATGTTCATTTTAAATGCAGGCCTATCACATGAATCAAGGGATTGATTGATGAGTTTAACTATTGAATTAAAAAGACAAAGCGAGGGCTAAGATTATAAAAGAGATGTTGGTTCAATCCATACTAGAACACTATTTAGTTATTGTATCATAACTGGAGTTATAGAACTTGGATTTAGGTCTACTCAATGGAATGCTAAGACATAAGTCTAAAACTTTCATGAAGAGTCCAAGATTCAAAAAGACCGTTTTCAAGTTTAAATTGTAGCAACAATGGAGAAGTCCGAATATATCCTGCAGTCCAGACATTGTTCATTGTTCAATCCATATCTCGAGTTCTAGAAATCCAAATGCACTAATGTTTTTTTATTAGAAAGCTGAGACAATTTCCTAGAACTTTCATAAAGATAATATATTCAAATTCTGATGTTAACAACGACGTTTTGCTATAACAAGAAGATAAAGATTGTCACCAAGTCAAGATGTGGTCACCCACTCAACAATTAGTCAACAAATCAATAGTTTCAAATTTTGGCCTATAAAAGGAGGCATTTACCATGCATTTAGGCATGCATTTAGACATCTTGGTTTTCAGATCAAGATCATGCTCTTTATCTCTTTCTTTATATTTTTTTAATGTTTAAGTTTTATTTCATGTTATATTTTTCTTTATCTTTTATTTGTGCATTTCATTTCCTTTACTGAACTTATATAATCATGTTCTCCTCTTGTTTATTTATGTTTCTCTTCTTCATTATGTTTAGGTAAGTTTATTATGTCAAGGTGAAAAGGTTTTGTTAAATAATATTTATGTAGTTCTATTTATTAAAGGTAGAATACCACTTTCAGTTTAATCTATATATACTTTATTTGTATTTAGGTTAAGGTTAAGCATTCATAATATACATATTATTAAGAATTCTACCCTCATTTTTGTGTTTGATCTTAATTATTTTAACATGGTATCAGAGCTGGTTTTATGAAACGAAGCTTAATCCCGAACACAGCTTCACGGATCCAACTATTTACAGTGAGATTTTGTCTTTTGCTTCTATAAAATTTGGTATTTCATCAGTTTCTGCAATTATTTTGGTATTTCGTCTTCCCTTCAGCTTTTGCAATTTGGTATTTGCGTTCAGTTTTTGCAAATTTGTTTTGTGTTTTGGAGTAATCGTATAATTCTGAGAAGATATTTATTTAGTTTTTGTAATCTCTGTTCAGTTTCTGCAATTTGGTATTTTGTTTTTCGCTGCTTTTGCATTCTAGTTCTCTGATTGTTGATTATGGCTACTGAAAGAGATGATTTGCTTCAATCTGTAAGTGTGAGGTTGGATGGGAAGAAGTATTCGTATTGGAGCTATATAATGAGAAATTTTCTTAAGGGTAAGAAGATGTGGAGTATGTTAGTGGAACTTACATGATACCTAAGAATGTTCAGGAGGGGGATGCTTTTTTGATAGATACATGGGAAGCAAATAATGCAAAGATCATTACTTGGATCAATAATTCTGTTGAGCATTCGATAGGCACGTAGTTGGCGAAGTATGAGACAGCAAAAGAGTTTTGGGATCATCTACAAAGGTTATTCACGCAATTAAATTTTGCAAAACAGTATCAATTAAAGAATGACATACGAGCTCTTCATCAGAAGAATATGAGTATTCAAGAGTTTTATTCTGCTATGACAGATCTTTGCGATCAATTGGCTTTTACAAAATCGGTAAAATTAAAGGCATGTGGTGCCTATATTGAGCGTAGAGAGCAGCAACGATTAGTACAGTTTTTAACAGCACTTCACAGTGACTTCGAAAGACTTAAAGGTTCAATTCTGCATCATTCTCCACTGCCTTCTGTTGACTCTGTTGTGAGTGAGTTATTGGCTGAAGAAATATGTCTTCAATCTTATTCTGAAAAGGGAATTCTTTCTGCTTCAAATCCTGTAGTACTAGCAGTATCTTCTAAGTCATTCTCTAATCATCAGAAGAAACCTCACATAAGGGTTGGCTTCGATAAGCGTAATTTCTATAAGCAGAAAGGTCATTGGAAGGCTTAGTATCCTAAGTTGAGACAACAGAATCAAGCTTGGAAGTCTGGCAGTCAGTCACAACCTATTGCTCATAGACTACCTCAGGGTTATAAACTATCACACCATAGTACTGCAGTAGTAACTTCCTTAGGCTCTATTACCGATCCCAATACTTTGGCTGAGCAATTTCAAAAGTTTCTCTCCTTGCAGCAACAAACAATGTTTGCTTCTTCTTCCATAGGTCAGTTACCTCATAGTTCCTCAAGTATGTTACACTCTGAATGGGTCTTGGATTCTGGTGCTTCTCATCATATATCTCTAGATTCCTCATCTTTTACCTCTGTGTCCCCTTTGTCCTCCATTCCTATTATGACTACTGATAGCACTCTTATGCCCTTAGCAGGTGTTGGTTCTATTGTCACATCTCACTTGTCTCTCCCTAATGTTTATCTTATTCCAAAACTTAAATTGAATCTTGCGTCTGTTGGTCAAATATGTGAGTCTGGTGATTATTTAGTCATGTTTTCGGGTTCTTTTTGTTATGTACAGGATCTACAATCTCAGAAGCTGATTGGGACAGGTCATAGGGAGAATGGACTATATATTTTGGATGAGTTAAAAGTGCCAGTCGCTACTGCTGCTACTGCTACTACTACTATTGATTTGTCTTCTTTCCGTTTAAGTCTTTCATCTTCTAGTTTTTATTTATGGCATTCCCGTCTAGGTCATGTTTTGTCTTTTTGTTTGAGATTTTTGGCATCCTTAGGAGCTTTAGAAAATTTAAAAACTTGTGATATTTCTAATTGTAATGGATGTAAACTGATAAAATTTTCTGCTTTACCTTTTAAGTGAAGTATTTCTGTTTCTTCTTCACCATTTTATTTGATTCATTCTAATATATGGGGACCTTCTCCTGTTGCCCCAAAAGGAGGGTCTTGATATTATGTTTCTTTTATTGACGATCATACTCGTTATTGTTGGGTTTATTTAATAAAACATCGTTCTGAATTCTTTGAGATATATACAGCTTTTCGAGCTCTTATCAAAACTCAACATTCTGCTGTGATTAAATGTTTTAGGTGTGATTTGGGTGGGGAATACACCTCTAATAATTTTTGCCAATTGCTTGCCTTAGATGGAACCATCCACCAAACTTCATGTACAGATACTCCTAAGCAAAATGGTGTTGCTGAAAGAAAACATAGGCATATTGTCGAAACTACTCGTTCTCTCTTGTTGTCTGCTTTTGTTCCTAATGAGTTTTGGGGAGAAGTTGTTCTTACTACAGTAAGTTTGATTAATACAATTCCATCTTCTTATAGTTCGGGTCTATCTCCTTTTGAAAAGTTATATGGGTACGTCCCTGATTATTCCTCATTTAGAGTCTTTGGTTGTACTTGTTTTGTTTTTTGTCCTCATGTAGAATGCAGTAAGTTATCCTCTCGATTTGTTGTTTGTGTCTTTCTAGGTTATGGTGAAGGTAAAAAGGGGTATCGTTGTTTTGATCCAATAACTCAGAAACTTTATGTGTCTCGTCATGTTGTCTTTCTTGAGCA